CTAGATTTTCACTCGAACTAAAAGAAGTTGCGCTGCTCAAAGCTATAGGATGTGGTGCTCAAAACACGAATGGAAAAGAAGAAATTATTGCATAATAATACAACTACCACGAATGGAAAAGGAGAAATTATTGCATAATAATACAACTACGTGAATCAGATCAGTAACAGTTCAGATCATTTGATTCATTTTCCTGCCTATATTCTTTTTCTAGGTTTCTCCGTTTCCGTCTTTCGTGCAGAAATAAGTTCTACCGAATAACCCTAATCTGCGAAAATGCTCTCATTTATGCTTGTTTTATTGTCTCTGCATTCGGTCTTCTCATGACTTTTATAAATGGTGAGCACACTGGAAGCACAATAAGATGACTATGCTATCACGCGTGTCGAAGTCCAAAACGTCCCTATGCGCTTATATGCCCATTATTTATTATCATCAGTGCTTTTATCAAAATCTAGTGTAGAACTTTGAGCAAATAGAAATATAGACGTGGTCAGCGTAGCTTTTGCGACCTTGAAAGTCCACTTTTTGTTAACATTTTCAATATATTGTATTCTGTTCTAGAGTTCGAGAACCTCCAAAACCGTCAACCTCAACAAATCCATCGAAGAGGCATCGAGAGCGGCTAAATGGAGAACTGGAAACAGTGGCCGCTCTGCTACCGTACGATGCAGCCACCATCAGCCGGCTGGACAAGCTGAGCGTTTTACGATTGGCTGTCAGCTACCTGCAAGTCAAAGCGCATTTTCATGGTAAGTGTCGCTATAATTATATTATAATTATACAATCATTGCATAGCTGATTCTTTTTCTTGTGTGAAGCCGTTTTGAAAATTGATGTGAGGCGAAAAATATAAGCTACAGTAGTTTCCCAAAGCATGTCCAGAAGTTGCGCAGCTACCGTACCCACATGAAGCGCGTGCCTGTTTATCTAGCGGTATCTTTGCGCATTGTCCCACAGTCTATTGTGACATAATCCCGCTCTGTCATGTCCTTATCTGGCAACAGATAGTCGATGAGTGGCGTAAGTGTGTCTGTTTGGATAGAAGTGGGTGTAACGGTATACGACTACCACCTTACGACTTCCTTATAGAAAGGTTGACCGGAAAACAAAATACGTTAGTGGGATTGTCAAGCAAGCGTAATCATTTTAGTGAGGAATGAAATTTTGTATTGGCAATATTTTTTGGTGAAAAGTTCTGTATACAAAAGAATGTTTGAGAGTAAATTGTTGGATTTTCCCAATTAGGCTGGTACAACAACGTTTGCGTTTATCTGATCGTAACGATGCATAAAATATTGCAGAAGTAAATTAGGAAAAGCAAAAGAGCGCCTCCCCTTTGAACAGAAAAAGTCATTCTTTACTTCATGTACCTGTGGGGAAGATTTTTTCTAATTTCTAATTCTATAAAAGTCTATCCTGAACCCCAAAGTTC